TAATACAGTAATAAATAAATAAAATAAACAGATTGGACTGGAATCCCATTCCTGCCCACTCCGGGGAACACCATTCCTGCCCATTCCGGGGAACATTCCGGTGTACATTCCGGAATCCACCGGAATGGAAAACACCAGAATAAACAATTTAGCAGGGCCTTCTGCTAAATTCCATTCCACCGGATTCCACCGGAATTCCACCGGAATGACCGGATTCCTGCAGGAATAGGGGGGGCACTGCTAAGACCTCCATACAGGTGCAACCTATCCTAGTTGTCACTTTCTAAACCTTCTTATCACACTCAGCCTCAATAAGATTCATGCAAGGGTACCAAGAGTTAATGATAGGGGCAGCTTTATCCTCTCTCTTGGCAGGATTCTGGTGAAGGACAACTCTGAATTTGGTTGACCTTTTCTAACATGACCTGACTTTGGTGTTGAAGTGTTGAAGGCCATAAAACCTTCAAGGACCAATCATTAATATGTGAGGTTATGTCCATCCTTCAGCCATATCCCCATGAGCTTATAACTATGTTTTGAGATAGGACAGAATGGTAGCTATCAAGATGAAGGCATAGAATAGTCTTTCATAATGTGAAAGACTGCTTGTGCATAATGTCAAAATCTAATGCTGCAGCAATGGCAATATGTAAGGTCATGTCAATCCTTCAACCTCATCCCCATAACCTAGACAGGGTCAAGGACACCATAAACCACATGTCAACTACAAACTTTTCTAATGACAAAAGCGGACACTACAAACTTTTGTAGTCTAAAAAAGTGGACAGGACAACCTTTTCTAATGGCTTTCATGATCTCTTTTGCACCAACTAAACAGGGAATAGGGTCCCTGCAATGTATCTGTATATTCCCCAGCCATTTCCCCATCAAATATGTGCCATGTACAGGATGTATAGGATAGGTTGACTTTGGATAACCTTTTAGCCCTAACCCTAACTTTGTAGTCTAAGTCTGACTTTTGTAGTCTTTTGTAGTGTATCAGTAAACTTGGCAATGTGACAATTCCTTTTCTAGGGCATGCACTTTCCTTTTTTGGTTATTTTTCCCATGATACAATAATTGTAGCCCTTTCTTTTAGCTTTCTAAATATACTGAAATCATATTGTTTGGTTTTGTTTTCATGGAGAAA